CATTTTACTGATAAGAAAACTGAGGCATAGGGGGATAGAAAATTGTCCCAGACACACAGGTTGTAAAAGGCAAATTCAGGATTCAAATTGCCAGATGCCCAGCCTCACAGATTTCCCCAACCACCCACCCACACTCAACACCAGGCCTCTGTTTCCTTTCCATTTCTAAGAGGTAATATGAACAGCAACTACTTCCCCTGACAAATTAAACAGGAACCCAAGGGTTTGGTCTGCTGTGGTACATATTTTTTGCCCTGGATCAGTATTTTAGAAATGTCAAAGATTCCTGTATCTTCTAGTTCCCCAACTATTTGAGGAAACCAGGCTGGTTTGATATATGGTTCATTCAAAACTAGAGATTTACCTTAAGGGTTTAACAGATTGGGGCAATTTCTTCTGGTCTGGGAACCAGGATTTCTTCCATCTCCCTGGGCACACACTATACTAGGTAGGAGTGTATTTGGGACAAGGACAATGACTGAACTGTCCATCATTGTATCTATAGCACTAAGCATGGTCTGGCAGCTGAAACACAATTGCACGGATGGATAGGTGGGTGCAGGGATAAATGGATGGATGAATGAATGGATAGTGGGTAGGTGGGTGGACAGAAGAATGGATGGGTGGATGGATGGGTGGATGGATGGTAGGTGGATGGCTGGATGAATGGATGGATAAATGAATGGGTGGGTAGATGGATGGTGGTGGGGTGGGTGGATAGATAGACGGTGGGGGATGGATGGGTAGATGGATGGATGAATGAATAGGTGGATGGGTGGATGGATGGTGGATAGGTGGATGATTGGATGGATACATAAGTGGGTGGGTCTGTTGATAGATGAATGGGTGGGTAAATGGATGGTAAGTGGATGGATAGATAGATGGATGAATGGATGGGTGGATGAATAGTGGGTAGATGAATGGCTAGATAGACCAATAGATGGATGAATGGATGGGTGGATGAATAGTGGGTAGATGAATGGCTAGATAGACCAATAGATGGATGAATGGGAGAGTGGATGAATGGTGGGTAGGTGTGTGGATGGATGGATGGATGGATGGATGGGTGGATAGATGGATGAATGGGCAGCTGAACTGGTAGATGATGGTGGGTGGATGGATGGTAGGAGGATGGATGGATAGATGGGTGAATGAATGGGTAGATGGATGGATAAATGAACTGGTGAACTGGTAGAAGAATGGATGATGGGTGGATGAATTTTCAAATGTCCTGTTGGCCCCAAAGACTCAAAACTGGGTCCAAAACATAAATCTTCTTCAATCAGTTGTATTTCATATCCCTTACATTCCTGTGAAAGTATTAGTAAGGTTTCTATGTCCATCTTAAAAGACAAGGGCTCCCTCATCCATTCTGATCATACACAGCCAACTTATAATAACCATATCCAAGGCATCATCCCCACACCTAGAAGCTATTCCTCTGAGTTCCAAACCAGAAAATAGGGCTGCCATGCTCAGAAAGCCTAGACACACCACTTCCTATAGCACCTGCTCTGGAGATCCTGGATGTGGGAAGTGATAAAGATTAGGCCTCCGGGGTTGGCTTGGCAGGAAGAGCTTTAGCTGCAGCAAAATGAATTCTGCAAGTATTTGAAGAACTGAAGTAGCAGCCAAGCCTACTAGCTGTTGTTCTAAAGGCTTCTTCCCAAGCCCATTATCTATAGTCAAGCCCAGTCACCATCAAAGGGAGATAAGCAAAGCTTTGCAGGTACATGGAGGCCAGGCTGAGGGGACATGAAGCTTGGGGTTCAGCTGACATATCAGAGCAGGAGCCAGGGAGACTGGCATCATGGAGCCCACACCCTAGTTCTCTCATTCACTAAGAATGTGGCGGGTGTGAAGGAGGGTGTAAGACAAAAGCAGGTCCGGTCACTGTGAGAAACTGTTCCAAGCCAGAGGCCAGATCCAGAACCCAGTGGAAAGGCCGCTGCAGATGAGACACTAAAGCTAAGTCCATTGCCAACACTCTCCCTCAAATTCCTCCAGTTTCTAAATGTCTGATAGGCTGGGTGTGAGCAAGGCCAACCAGCCAACCCCATAAGAGGTGCCTCCTCCCAGCCTCAGTGCAAACAGTGTCTAAGAAGTTCCCTGCCTTCTATGCCACAGGGAGTTTTCCCAGGATGCTGCTTGGCCAGCCACACTGTCTTACAAAAGGGAAAGAACTATTTGGAAGGAAATCACATATTCAGGAAAATTCACCTACTCCACATGTGTTTTAGTAAGAGGACATGTTTTCCATGTTGAGATATAGGGCAGCTCGAGGTTTGGGGGTGGAGGGAATGTCTGTAATGGAAAGACATTTGAACTTTGGTCCTGGGGACCCCAATCAAGCGCTGGACACAGAAAATGGCTGGGGAAGACAGAGACCAGCCTTGATCCCAGCAAGGAGAAAACGAGTGATGATTCTCTCACAGACAGGCACGCCCTTGTTCACAAAGCCCTCCCTAAGTCTTGTTGCATTTGATCCTTGAAATGCCTTCTTTGGCCCCTTTACACAAGGAAAAACCAAGAATTAGAGCAGTGAGCAAAGAAAAGAATCAGGAGCTCGGGCCCTGTGTCCTGTGCTTGGGAAGCTGCTTAAGGAGATGGATGTGGTTCAAACCATGGCTGCAAGGCTTATGAGTATGTGACTGTGACCAAGACATGCACCTATCTCGGACCTTACTTTTGTTCATCTATATGATGGGAACATACAGAGTTAGAGCGACCTCTATGAAGCTATTGTTTCTGTGGGTCATAAACATTGAAAATTGGCAGCTTCACATGGCTCCACATAATGCTCACTAATCAGCTTGGAACTGGCAGAGAAAGGGCCTAAGAAAGGGCCCTGTTTTTAGCACCCGCCTGGGAACTACATGTCACCCTCAGCACATAAAGGTGACAGTAAGGGCTCAGCGCCTGTAGCTCAGTGGCTAGGGCACCGTCCACATACACCAGAGCTGGTGGGTTTGAACCCAGCCCGGGCCTGCCAAACAACAACAATTACAATAAAGAAAAAAAAAATAGCTGGGCATTATGGCAGGCTCCTGTAGCCCCAGCTACTTGGGAGGCTAAGGCAAGAGAATCGCTTGAGTCTAAGAGTTTGAGGTTGCTGTGAGCTGTGACACTACGGCACTCTACCAAGGGTGACATAGTGAGACTCTGTCTCAAAAAAAAAAAAAAAAGTGACAGCAAGGACCAATGTTCCCAGAAACAGGTGATTCCAGTGCAGCCCCGCATGAGGTGAGCTGCAGCAGGCATGTGGGTAAGAACACTGGTCTGCATCTGGGGCTCCATATTTGAAACTGGGGTTCAGGCTGCGGTCAGAGCCCATTTTCTGTGAAAAGCATGCTGTTCTCTGGTGAAAATCAGATCTGTCACTTGGTACCTCCATCTCCACACCTGGTTAAGCAGCTTCATGTCTCCTCCCCCTGAGCAACTACTTACCCACCTCACAAGCAAACATTTCAGGACAATGCCCCAGCCCGCGCCAGCACTCCAGATCCAAACAGCTACACCCTCCAGGGGAGCTCTCTGATGGGACATGCACTAGGCCTGGCTGAGGAAGGACACACGCTGTCTGCCCGCTCCTGTCTACTTGCCAGGAGCCCTGTGGAGCCAGAGGCAACTCAATAGCCAAAGCTCTCTAAACGAGCCTGGATACTGCAGGGTCCCACACATTCAAAGGATCATTTGTTTCTGACTACTCAGGGATCTGGCTCATGGGGTCTTGGTTTTTTGTTTGTTTGTTTTAGAGATAGGGTCTCATTCTGTCCACAGACTACAGTACAGTGTTGTCAACATAGCTCACAATAGCCTCAAACTCTTGGGTTCAAGTGATCCTCCTGCCTCAGCCTCCCAAGTAGTTGAGACTACACGTCCATCCCACCAAGTCTGGCTGATTTTTATTTTTATTTATTTATTTATTTATTTATTTTAACAGATGGGGTCTTGCTGTGTTGCCCAGGCTCATATCCAACTGTTGGCCTTAAATGATCCTCCCTGCCAGGCCTGGGTCTTGGTTTCTTAAAACTCTACAGCCACACACTGCTGCTCTCAGGTGCATCACCTTAAAAACAAAATCTATTTATTGACCTCATGGTTCCCAGCTTTCAGCTGTCCTATGCTAAGCCTCCAAAGCACCTTGTCACTGGGAAAACACTGCCTGGCATTGTGGCTGCCACGTGTGTGGATATGCATATGTATATATGTGTGTGCATGCGTTTGTGTGTGTGTGTGTGTGTGTGCATGTGCGTGTGTTTGCCTCATTTCCCTGCCCAGGGCACAGGTGACAGGTCTTATGAAAAAGTCTAAACAGCCCTTTACATGTGCCGTGTCCAGTGTGCCTCTTCCCCTCCTCTGCTTTCCTCCCCTGCAGCTGTCACACACCACCCTGACACTGTAGTTGTTAACTCACTATTACCCACTTCCCTCACAGAATGTAAGCTCCATGAGGACAGGGACTTTCTTCTGTTTTCTGTAACTCTGGCATCTAGAACAGAGTTTGGCCTGGCACAAACAAGATGCCCAAGAAGCACTGTTGCATGATGGAGTGCATTCCATCATAGCGCACCTACCTCTGTGCCTTAGTGTCATCTTGCAGGGATTGGCCGCCAGCCCCCACAGTATACACTCATCTCATTCCCTGCCCCTACTCTCTTGCATATGTCACAACACCCGGCACAGAACTGCTCAACAAGCACTGCTAACTTGCTGTCAATCATTTGTTTTCATCCCCAGAGGTAGGTGGGGTCTGATGCATTGAATCAGCAGTGTTCTCTGTGGGGTGGAACACAGGCCTCCAGACGCAGCCTCGTGCAGCCAGACCCAAACCTAACCGACTCTACTCACCCCTGTATGTGAGACCAGGCCCGAAGTACCTGCATTAGGGACATCACTGGGAGGAGGAAGAGCTTGACCAGGCCATGGGTGGTGTGTCCCTGAGCCCCACATCCCTACCCACAGGGCCAGAGTGCCAGAGGTAACACCCTGGAGCTTACCATGGACTCGCTGATGAGGAGGAGCAGGAGGGCTTCCTCGATGTTGTCCTTGGGGCAGTAGAGGCTGAAAGATGCAAAGGGCAGGCCAGTTAGAGCACACCCCTTATCAGGCAGCACCTTGGCCCACCACGCTGGCCCTTGTGTCCCAGAGTCAGCCCTGCCCTGTAAGGTGACCCTCCCCTGCATAATTGATGGGTACCAGATATCACCTACAGCTTTCACAGGCCCCAGAGTTATGACTGTGCTGGGCTGGAATTCTATAGATGCTCCTGGGGCAGAGGCGCCCCTCCCAGCACTGCAGGTGGTGGCTGGGGCGAGGGGCAGGGTGCGGCAGGAACAAAGCTCCGCAGATGGCCACAGACTCTATCTTTAATTGTTGGCACAAACAAGACAGACAGAGGTGTACTGAATGGGACTATTAGGTAGACAGGGAACCCTCAAACCATTTGTTTAACCTCTGGGTGCCTTCTACGGTTCTCCCCACAACTTGTACCCCAAGACCTCTAGTCCACATGGCTTCACCTGAGACTAAAAAGCCTGTATGATAGTCACTGGGTGGAAACCAGAGGACAGAGCCGGGCAAAGCGGCCAGGATCAATCCCTGTGCAAGGCATGAGACTGGTGTAGACCCATGGGACAGCTGGAACTTACTTGTCTCCTTCGTAGAGGTGAGGTTTCCGCAGAGCCTGTGTGACGAAGGCATTCTCCTCCTTGCCCATGAACTCAGGCAGAGGGTGGGACAGGGGGCTCCAGTAGCAGTCCTCACTCAGGGAGTGCAGCAGGACCCCCGCCAGGTGCCTGGCTGCCATCTGGCAGAGACGGGGGCACTCAGACCCAGGCACAGGCCTTGGCCCTGCCCACAGATAAGTCTAGAAAGCCCTCTGCCTACCACCCAGCCAAATCTGCCCACCGTGCAATGGGCCTCCGGGGATGCCATTCCCAAAGATCCCTGTCACTTCTCCCGTCCTCTCAGCACTGAGGCTCCCAGCCCTCCTATTGGCCGTGGCTCCTACTCTATCTTTTCTCTTCTCTCTTCTCCCAGATAAAAGGTGCTTTTCCTCCTGCCCTGACCCCTGGAGACCAGCCCAGCGCTGATAATCACAGGCCTTGCCCTGGTGCTAGAAAAGAGCACAAAGCAGCAGCAGCTCTCTCTACTGATGCCTTTCTGACATCTGACCAAGAATTCTAGTGTGAGAAGTAGCTATAGCTCTAACTTTGAGTGAAGTAGGGCCTAAGAGGGCAGGCCAGCACTGGGGTGGGCAAGCAGGCTCACTGTCATATTAGGATCATAAACAACTCCTTTTTTTTTTGTGAAACAGAGCCTCAAGCTGTCACCCTGGGGAGAGTGCTGTAGCATCACAGCTCACAGCAACCTCCAACTCCTGGGCTCAAGCGAGTCTCCTGCCTCCACCTCCCAAGTAGTTGGGACTACAGGCGCCCGTCACAATGGCCAGCTATTTTTTGGTTGCAGCCATCATTGTTGTTTGGTGGCCTGGGCTGGATTCGAACCCACCAGCTCAGGTGTATGTGGCTGGCGCCGTAGCCGCTTGAGCCATAGGTGCCGAGCCCATAAACAAATCCTTAAGAATTGCCATGCTGCCTTGCTGGGGAAGGGATGGCAGGAGATCTGAACTGTGAGGCAATGCTAGGGCCTCTGTGTGTGCTGAGGTGGGAAAGGTGCTGAGAGAGCATGCGGAGAGAGGGCTGAGGCTGGAAACTGACATCTGCCACAAGCAGGGAGAAGCAGGAGCAAGCCCACAGGCTGCTACCATCCCTGCCCCCCACTGAACCTGACCCCTGAATAAGCCAGCCACAGCCAGCACCCCTAGTTACCACTTTGAAGTTCTGAGTCGCTTTGGTCTCCACGGTCCGTAGGATTTCCCGGAGTTCTCTCATGCCCTTCACGACATTGCTAGTGGGAGGACAGTAGAAGTGGAGTCATTACTAGCCACACTCCCACAAAGACATCTCAGCGGCCTGCAGACCCAGGAGGAGCTGCCTGCTGGTGTCTTATTCGAACTCATTCAATAAGGGAATTGAAAAGTCAGAGTTGTAACACAAGGACCCTACCCGCCTAGGATGCCAACAATGAGAAGGGCAGGGCCCCGGGACGATGTGGCCTTCTAGTTCCCTACCAAATACATAGGTATTTCAAACACTATCTCGGCCCAAGCCTTGGGCTGTCTCCAGAGTCTAACCTGAGTTGGCCTCAATATTTCCACCTTCAGCTGCTCTACCCGGTCAATGCTGGAATCCATCTTTGCCTCTCAGTCCCTGCTGCCACGGCCCCAGGTTAGCCAGTCTCACCCCTCCAGTCAACACTCTGCCTTGAAATAATTTTCATGCTTGCCAAAGTATGACCCATAGCAAGAAACACAACACATACCACAACCAGTATATGCACACATTGAAGTAAGTTTCTCCACACTATACCTGTCTCTAATGTGCGCAATTGACACAGATAGTTTCTATTTTACTCCTCCCCCCTACCCACCTGCTGTAACATGATATACTGGCGCAGCCCACTAAATAGATCTTACAACCTACTAATAGGTTGTGGTCTGCATTGTGAAAACTTTTCCCACCACCCTTTAGGTGGCCAACTGACATGTGACAGTCAACTGGATTCTACCCAGGTGAGCCCTCATAGTGGCCCCAGGGCTTACAGAATCTAGACCAGGACCCCAGAACAGCTTCCTGGGCTATGTGGTCTACCCCTCACCCTCTCCCACCTGAGCCTCAGCATTCAGTAAGCCCCTTTGACCAATCTCGCTCCCCAGGTCAAGTCTCATACAGGCTCCCCCGCTGCCTTAAACAGCCATCCCCATTCATCCTAAAACCAGTTCCAAGGTCACTTCTTCCATGAAGGCTTCCCAAGGCCCTCCCCATACTGCCCTGCCTGCATCTTACACTCCAATGATTCATCTTCTAAGGCAAACACAGCCTCTCAAGATCAGTTTCCAGCTGCGGTAGTGACACTGCACTCTGTGGCCTCCTGGGGGCTTGTGTCACGTGTCCCTGAGGCTCAGCCCCAGCAGCCCACCCAGCAGTGTATGCTCAGTCAATGCCTGAGGACTGCCTGCACGTTTGCCTAGGATTCCCAGAATCACACCACACATGGGGCAGCAAAGGCTGCTGGGCCAGAAAATTTAGAAAAGGAAAGCTCACAGAGGGTGAAGAACCAAAGCTGGCAGCCAGGAAAGTCGCACGAGCCCCTCCTCAACTTTCACGCAAAAGACAGTCTCCTGAGGGTTTTGGGACTTGGGACCCTGAAAGGACAAGTTTGCAGATCAAGCCCTTTGCCTTCTGGGAAGCTCTGGCTTTAGATAAACAAGCCAAGAATGTGCAGTTACCAACACTGCATATATAGACCCCTGTTTTAAGGGCTGAGAACAGAAACAAATTCTACTCTGGTGTAGAGCTGGAGTCACAATGACCTCCCCTAACCAGCCCAGGGCTCTGAAGGACTGAGACCAGCAGGCAGGATGGAAACCTCAGCCCTGCTAGAGACAGGTCAAGTCGGAGTGGCCCAGGCAAGTGGGCTCAACTCTATGGGCTACAGTCCCCTTGTCTGTATGAGGGGACATAGTTAGGACTCTAGTTAGCTCAGTGCCTCCCAGGCTTCCGTTACTGGCACACCACAGCCACCATGTTTACCACTAGCTGCACATCACCATCCTGTTATTTATGTGTAATACTTTTATCTTCTTTCTTTTTACTTCAGTAGCTAGCTTACCTTAATAAAAAAAAAAAAATACCTGACCTCACGGGATTAGTGTGTTGATTATTTTTTGACCACAGATATTAAATACGGAGTTAGTATGTATCACTCAAAACCACCTGTGTATCGGGAGAAGTAATCGTCTCACACTCTGAGAAATGATGGCTTAGACCAGACGGTCTCAAAGTGTGGTCCCTGGACTAGCTGCATTGGCAGCCCAGAAACATGCTAGAAATGCAGATTCTCTAGCCCCTGCCCCAGACCTGCTATAGCAATCTGGGTTTTTATCAAATCTCGGGGGGGCGGGGGGCGCTCTGACAGACACGCAAGGTTGAGAACACTGGTTTAGATGATGTCCCAGCGTCTTCCAGGCCTCCTGTCTATGAAGCCAGGTTTCAGAAGGGATGCTCTGATATGAAAACCCCAGTCATACAGAAAGATCCTAAGCCTGTAATCGTGGGACAGTGAGGCAGCCCCCCCAAGTCTAGAGTCTCCTCGTAACCCCATAGAGCCATCAGGACAATGAAATACACAAAGCCTCAAGCATACCCAGGCATGTGGCGGAGGCTCACTAACTACTGTTTTTCTTTCTTCCTCTAATTTGAGTCTTAAAAATCTTATCACAACAGGACAGAGTTTATTGACAGGGGAAAAGATAAGCATGATAAGCAAAAGAGGAGGGTTATTAACTTTTAATGGACATCATTTTGCAAGGAAGTTCAGGAGCTAAAAGTAGGGGGAGAGCACAGGGGAATCCTCCAGCTCTGGGTCCACCACTCTTTGACCATCTCTAACCCACAGGGAACATAAGAACAGGAGTCCCTCGGTAGACAAAACAAGCCCAGGACAAGCCTGGGGCGGCCCATGAGAAGCACCTTCAGCCTCTACTTCAGAAAAGAACCTAATGCTGGACAGAGGCTACAGGCCAGGCCAGCTAAGGGGACAGCCCGAAGTGGTCACCACTAGGAGAGAGAAGAAAGACACAAACTTCATAAGCTCCCAGCAGAGAGGGGAAATGGCTGACACTGGGGCCTCAGTCTGCATTAGAGTTCTGCCCTGGAAACTGAGCCAAACAGGCACAGATTGTGAGGCGGGCTAAATCCTAGGGCTGCCCCAAGGCCCTATGGCCCAAAGGAGCCTGGCAGCTCCCGGGACCTCTGGGTGATTTTCCACTCTGTCGGCTACCTGCCAACCTCCTCCCTGTAGCCTGGCCCAGGTTACTACCAGGAGGCTAGAGCCAAGAGTGGCTGCAGCCCCTTTTTCTTGCTCCTACAAGGACTGTACTCTCTCTGCCACAGACAGGCAAACTCAGCCTTTAGTCTTCAGGTCAACACTCCTGGGCCAGCAGACAGAAATGACCTGGGGGCTTAGGAAAAGCAGACCTCACCACTCCCAACACATATATGAGGGAGGGATCAGCCTGCATTTTAACAAGACCCCAGGCCCCAAAGTCGTGTCTTTTTACTATTTCGAATCTACTAGGGATTTAGCATATAAATAAGCTCCCAGGAATTCTTTAGCAAAGCAAATAATCACCCTGAGGCATGTTTTGGGTAAATCCCAATATTTATTGAATGTCCTTAAAGAGAAAAATCAACATAAGGGTTCCAGAGACCAGGGCTGCACAGGGAAAGATGTGAGGTCCTAGTGACACTGACCTGTCCAGCCATATAGGCAATGCCCCTCTGCCTCAGCTTACCCCTGTGAGTAATGAGAAACCACACGGGGCTTCTCAAAGGTTCCCCAGATGGCTTTAAGCCTGAGCAACCCTGTCCCAGGTCTGAAGCTGCTTGTGCCAGGCGGTGCTGGGGCTTTTCCGTGCTGTCTGGGGCTGCCCTGGGAAGAAACTTGAAAGATCTCTTTGTTCTCGTCTCTCATGCTGACCTTTCTAGCAAAGTTGCTCACTTTTAACAATATCCAAACAGGGCCTCAAACAAATCCTGGCCCAGAAATAGGCTGCATGGGGAGAAGCCAGGAAGCCGTTTATTCCAACTCAGGTGAAGCCTGGTTGGGCAGGAAAAGAAAGAGGTGTGGGTGTGGGGATGGGTCAAGGACATGGCTCATCTTAGGGCGACCCCCGGGGGGGCGTGCAGGGGTTGGCAGACTCCGCCAGTCCCCTCCACGCAGCAGGTGGCAGTGCACGTTTTTGCAAAGTGCTTCTTCTTGTTCACCCCTTTCAGCTTCTGATGAGGCCAAGGAGGCAGGCAGGCTCCATCATCCCAGCACCAGCACCATGCATGGTATGTGGAAGGCACTACAGAAATCATTGCTGAATAAATCAATCCCCAGCTGCCAATGGGCAAACCAAAGGCTGGAAGAGACCTGCCTTTCTAGGCCACCATTTACCTAAAGGGAGAGCAGAGCCTATGCAGGTGTGAAAGGTCTCAGATTGCATTCCCTTTGAACCCAAAGAGCCCTCAGAAAGATCTAGCATAGTGACACTTCCCTCTCCGGGACATCTAAACTCTAGAACTGCTAGGACTTTGTGACTAAGTCTTCACAAAGTGCCTTCTGCATTCCATGTGCCTGACCATCCGCCCTATCCATAACAAGCATTCAACAAATACTAGTAGAAAGAACTAAGAGCCCTAGTGAGTGAATCGATAACTCATTCACAGTCTATTCAGTCTGCCAGGCTCCCAATTTACTCAGAGCTTAGCCAAGGGCTCCGCATACAGTAGGTACTAGACAACTATTGAGAGGGAGGGACTTGACTTGATTTGAAATGGAAAATGAACAAGTGCATGGAATTGATAGCTGAATGGAACCTAAACAAACACAGGCACATGTGACTCTGACCAGAAGGGCCAGCACCACTGTCTGAGAGGTTTCTGGTCAGACCCGGAAAAGCAGAGACAGTTGGCAGATCCCAACAGCTGGAGGGCTAGAGCAGCGGACAAGGTCAGGCGAAGGTCACATGGTTACCCAGCTGTTCTTTCCTGCCACAGACCCACATCATCTGTTTGAAAAACTAAAACTCTCCTCTTCACCCCTGGCCCCAGAATGAGGCTTCCCTCTTATGGCACTGAGGATGTCCCAGGCTCTTTCCTCTCTAGTGAGGTGGGAAATGTGAGTGGGAAAATCAGGGGTAGGTGCTAGAAATATAGAGGCTGTGCACCAAGAACGGCTGGGATGGGTCTCAGAGGTCACCCTGTGCCCCAAAGCATGACAAAGAACAAAGCTGTCAGTGT